TTCCTGTGTCACACTCAGGACTCTAAAAGTCAAATACTAATAAAAGTCAGTCAATAATATAGAGTGAACAATTAATGTGTCCTTCATTGAGACCCTACACTTCAGGTATTCCCTTTCAGGTATGGACTTTTGATTAAATCAATTAATTGGGGAAAAAAGAAGAAGTTCAGTGGGATTAAGTGGGTGGAGATTCAACTATTTAACCAGATAACTCTGATTGGAGTTAGGAGTTGAAAAGAGAAGGGGGAATTAGAAAGACCCCATAAAAGCTTCAAGGAGCCATAGAAGCACAGAAGCCTGCAACCTTTGTCACTGTCTGGCACTGCTAGGATTCAGAACTCCCTGCCAATCATCCAGCTCTGGTAAGTCACCAAACCCCATGGAGACCCCATTCAGGCTGCCTGGTGGCATACACATTTAGTCCCAGCTACTCGGGAGGCTGAGGCAGGAGGATTGCTTGAGCCCACGAATTCAAGACCAGCTTGGGCAACTGAACTCAAAACAGAACCTCTATGGGGTCTACTCTCAGCCAGTCTTACCCAGTTACCTAGAGCCTAGGAGAGGTAGCACATGTCTTTAAACCCAGCAACTCTGGAGGCTGAGGCAAGAGAAGCACAAGTTGGAGGCCAGCCTGAGCAATTAAAAAGCAAGATCCTGTTTCCAAATAAAAAATAAAAGGAGCTGGAGATGTAGATTGGTGTTAGAGCACCACTGGGTTCAGTCCCCAATACCAAAAAAGAAACAAAAAATGGTGACATGTAGTTTGTGATGGCAAAAAGAATATCATATTCTGTCTCTCCAAAGGATCAGATGTCCGCATTTTGTGTCTCTAAATGCAGTTTTGCCTTTATCCCAATAATTTTGATTTCTGCTTTGGTTTAGGTCATATTAAATTTCTTTCCTTCTGCTTTTCTTTTTTTTTAAGATGAATTTCCATCTCTTTATCAACTTTAATTTCAAAATACTTCTTCCTTTGCATCTTCATGGTAACTTTGATTCCAGTTAGAGAAACAGACTCAAAAAAGTAGATGGGAATCAAAGGAATGGCTACTAAAGTTTTCCAAACATAATTGTCCTTCCTTCTCTCTGGGTCTGATAGTCTTAAGACAAGTCTCTTCTTAAATAATTCAACACAACATCTTCAATGGTGGCTGGACTGGAACAGGCATTTCATTCAGCCACTCAGTACCTCAAAGTTTCTTAACACTCTCATGCTTGGGCTTAGTTGCCTTCACTTAGAATTTTTTTTTTTTTCTGGAACCACACAATATTTTTCATAAGCTGCACTCTATTCTGATCTATGTCTTTCCCAGGACTCCACTCCAAAGTGGCATGCTGTCACGTGTACAAGATATATGTGACAATCGAGCCTCATCTCAGAGTTAGCTTTTTCCATCTCTTACTTCCAATGCTCTCAAATACTGTATGTGGCTTTTAACATTGCTTACATTTAAACTGTTCATGGTGGTACCTGTCTGTAAGCCAGCTATTCAAGAGGCTGAGGCAGGAAGATCAGGAGTTTGAGACTTATCTGGACAACTTTTTGAGATCCTGTTCAAAATAAAACAGGGTTGGGAGCCGGGTGTGGTGACGGGTGTCTGTCATCTCAGTGGCTTGGGAGGCTGAGCCACAGCAAATTAGCAAGGCCCTAAGCAGCCTCAATATAAAAAATAAAAAGAGCTGAGGATGTGGTTCAGTGGTTAAGTACCCAGAGTTCAATCTTTGGTATCAAAAACAAACAGGGCTGGGGATGTAGCTCAGAGGCAAAGCACCCTGAGTTTAATCCTGTGCCATAAAGTTAATAAATACAAACCAAAACGGGTAAGGGTGTAGCTCAGTGGTAAGCTACCCCTTGCTTCAATCCCTAGTATCACCAAAAAATGAAAAGTATAAGTAAGTAAATTGATTTAAAAATTGCTCATTTTAAAAATGAAAATCAATGACACCCACTTTAGTTATTAATTCACTGAAGCTAGGGATTGAACTCAGGAGCAATACAGTACTGAGCTACATCCTCAACCCTATTTTATTTTTCATTTTGATACGTGGTCTCACTAAGTTCTAGGCTGGCCTGGAATTTGTGATCCTCCTGCCTCAGTCTCCCAAGCCATGGGGTCATAGGCCTGAACCACGAGGCCTGGTTTGCAACCCAAAGAGTGAAATTGGATCAACCAATTGCCAAAGCAGCCACTTGGCTGAGTGGTTTCCTCGGGGTGGGTATAAGGTAGAGCTATGGAGCTTGGCTGTGAATGATGTGTTTGGGTGGGGCATCCCCCAGGATCCTTCCATGCAGACTCCAGAGGATGAGCAGCGGACCCCACCCACACTCCAGGAGCTGGCAGGGCGCAGCCTCCTGAAGGACAACTCCAGGGCCATCCTAGCTCTGGAGGACCTGCCCATACAGCTCTTCCCACCACTCTTCATGGAGGCCTTCAACCGGAGACACACTGAGGTCCTGAAGAAAATGGTGCAGGCCTGGCCCTTCACCTGCCTGCCCCTGGGGGCCCTGATGAATACGCTACAGCTGGGGATGATCCGAGTGGCACTGGATGGGCTGGACATGCTGGCTGCCCAGCAGGATCGCCCCAGGTGAGGGAGACCCTGGAAGGGAGCACCCTGGGCAACCAGGCAAGTGATGGCTGTGTGCAGGGAGAGTAGGTGCTGAAGTGTGCTCCACAGGCTTCCTGTGCTGCCAGCAAGGAGGGGTGGAGAGGTCCTGGCCATGCTGAGCCCCACCTGGAGGGGCTTCCAGATGTGGAGGTGCTTGTGGCAGCTGTGCTGACCCCTGAAAGAGGTTGCACCTGTCCCTCCCTCAGCTGGTACAGGTGGGGCACCAGGCTGGATTGGAGGGAAGTGGATGGAGAAAAGTGAGACAGAAGGAAGAGGTGGAGCAGGGAGCAGCTGCTGAGAGGTGAAGGAAGGGCCCTCAGGGCTGAGACTCTGCTGTGGTCCCCGCAGGAGGTGGAAACTGCAGGTGCTGGATTTGCGGAAGGTTCATGGGAACTTCTGGAGGATGTGGTCTGGAGCCGCGGTCGATGCCTGCTCACCAGGAGTCATGAAGGAGAGGCAAACAGTGAAGGCCTCTCCAGACACAGGGCCCACTCTGCCCTTGAAGGTGTTAGTAAACCTGTGCTTACAGCAAAGACCCCTGAATGCATTCCTCTCCTTCCTCTTTCACTGGGTGGATGAGAGGAAGGGTCTGATACAGCTGTGCTGCAAGAAGCTACAGATGAGCTCTTTGCCCATCTGTACCATCGAGAAAATCTTGGAGAGGTTGGATCTGGACTTTATCCAGCAGTTGGATGTGCAGTGTTTCTGGAGACTGTCCACCTTGGCTACTTTTGCCACCTATTGGGGTCAGATGAGCAACCTGAGGAAGCTCTTCTTCTCCCACGTCTATGTGTCTGCCTATGCTTCCCAGGAGGAGAGAGATCAGTTGATGGATGACATTACCTCACAGTTTGCCAAGATGGACAGCCTCAGGAGGCTGTACATGGATGGTGTCTTCCTCCTAGAAGGCCGTCTGTGCCAGGTGCTCAGGTAAGGAAGCAGAGGGAACTGTCCTAGGACATCAGAGCAAACTCTTTGTCACATGAAACTTCAGCGGGCACCTGCTGTGTGCCAGCCATGGTGACTTAACATTGATGGAGATGTTAGAAAGTCAATGAAGTGTTTGTTTCACTCTGTCCTGAAGCCAGGTCTCACATAAACCCCCACACAGAAGCAGAGTCCTAAACAAGGGTCCGTGGTCTGGGGAGCAGATCTCTGCTGGGGAGCCCGGTGGGGGGAGACTAGCTAGTGAGTGGGTGTGAGGTTCCTTCCCTGGGAGGCTTGTCCAGCAAAGGTGGGGAGAAGCAGGGTAGAGGGGAGGGCACTGGAGGAGGGAAGCCCCCACGCCTGCACCTTTCAACAGAGAAGCTCTGTGCTCTCCAGCGGGGAGCAGAGGAGTTGCCTCCAATGCCCCCCTGGGGAAGGCTGCTCTGAGCTCTGGGTGGTGATTCTGGACTGGAGGGTGAGGAGCAGGGGTGGAGGGTACAGGGTGTGAGCCCTGCAGGAGGGCAACCCGAGTTTGTGCGGCTCCGTCTTTCCTGGGTTTCTTATTTGTGCATGTGTCACCCTGACCCCCTCTGCAACAGCTGTGGCTTTCTGCTTGGCAGCCAGGAGGGGCGCTTTATAGATGATGGACCCACCTGGTCACTCAAGTGGGGGTGAAAGGCTCAGCATGAAACAGGGTGATGCAAATGAGCAGATTCTGCAACAGTCAGAGTCCTGGGTGGAGACCATCATCAGAAGGTCAAGGTGACCTTGGGTTGGGCCAATTTGTCTTCTCCCACCTTGACATCAATCCTCAGAACTAACTGCTTGAACTTTGCTTAGGCTCCTGAAGACCCCCCTGGAGACCCTCTCAATAACCAACTGCCAGCTCTCAGATCCAGACTGGAATGATATGTCGGGGTCTCCAAACCTCGACCAGCTAATACATCTGACGCTGTGGGGCAGCAAATTGACGAGTTTCAGTCCTGAGCCCCTCGTAATTCTGCTAGAGAATGCTGCAGCCACCCTTGAGACCCTAAACTTGCAGGACTGTGGGATCACCAACTCCCAGCTCCAGGCCATCCTCCCTGTCCTGAGCTGCTGCTCCCAGCTCAGGGTCTTGAGCTTCAGTGGGAATGACATCTCCATGTCGGTCCTGAGCAACCTGCTGCTTCACACTTCCAGGCTGACCAGGTTGAGCCTAGAGAAGTACCCTGCCCCTCTGGAGAGCTATGATGCCCAGGGTGCCATCCACCCAGGGAGACTTTTCCAACTCATCGATGAGCTGATGGCGACACTGAGGGATGTGAGAGAGCCAAAGAACGTCCTTTTCTATACTAAACCCTGCCATAGATGTGGCAACTGCTTTATCTATAACCTGCCCTCCAGTCCGTGTCGCTGTTGGCTTCCTGCCTAGTGGGATGCATATATGAGAAATGTTCTCCTGTGCACTTGAAAATAAAGGTAAGACATGAGTGTCTTTCCAAGGGGAACTAGAAACAGGATGCCAGGGCACTACTTAACACGAGTGGGAACAGAAAAGCTGATGCAGGAGGCCTGGGTCACAGAGGCTTGGGTCCCGTCAGGAGACTTGGAACCAATGGGGACATGTGTCTTAGGAGTCAGAAACAGGAATCTGAATTTCTGGAAGTAGGTTGTGCTGAGAGGTACACAGGGCATGACCCCTGCATGGATGGTTGCAAACGAGCGACTTGTGAACTTGCGGCAGAGCCTCTGCTGTCCTCCAAGGTTTTCAGCTTAAAGGTCAGGAAGCTAACCCAGTGGCTAATCAGTGCTGATTAGTGACACTGGAGCCGAGGACCTCATGGCATCACAATAGTGCAGGGCAATTCTGAGTATACCCTCCATTCTTTATTTCTCTCTGGGTGCCATTCCTTCGAATGAATGTGGCTTTTGAGTGGGGTAATGCACCTGTGGTTGCCCACAGGACTGAGAACACTAACCTGCTCTCTAAAGGAGTTTATCTGAGGATAGTAGGAGACTTCCATCTGAGTTATTCAGGTCATAGTGGACCACAGACCACAGCTTTATCCACAAGTGCTGAGGTTCAGGGAAAAATAGTCTGAGTCTTTGTGTGTGTGTGTGTTGGGGATTGAACCCAAGGGTGCCCTACTACTGTAGAGAACTTCATAGAATACAACTTAAATCCTTGTACAATTTAACAACCCATCAGTCAAGAAACCTAAAGGGAGGTTGGACATATACCCAAGAGTTAGGTGCAATAGATAAAATTATAAATGCAAGATTTCCTGCAATTCCAAACCCCAGCACCTGTCATCTAATAGGCCTGCAGACTCCAAATGGTTCGCAGCAGACACCTTCACTCTGCTGTCTCTGGTACCCAGTGATAAGCAGAGCCAACACTGTTGCCTTCTGAAAAATCAGCAATACACCCAGACTGGGAATCTACAAGTGTGCCCTGAAATGCCACATCACCCCTCTCAGGCATCACGCCAAGACCTCTCATCCATACAGTCTCCTAGAAATGCCTCTCAATTTGCAAATGATTTGTTTTATGATCTCCTACTGCACAGGATTCTAAAATAGTTTTTCTTCACCTTTAACAGTAGGTGGCAAATGAGAGCCATAAGACCTGCTTGGATAAACTTGAGTTCTCTGCAGAAGAAATCCATTATGCCTGGAGCAGTGGCACATGTCTGTAATCCCAGAGCTTGGGAGGCTGAGGAAGAGGGATTGCAGGTTCAAAGCCAGTCTCAGCAAAAAGTGAGGCACTAAGCAACTCAGTGAGACCCTGTCTCTAAATAAAATACAAAATAAGGCTGGGGATGTGGCTCAGTGGTCGAGTACCCCTGAGTGAAATCCCAGTACACCCCACTCCTCCACCCCCCAAAAAAAAACAAAGAAATAAAGAAAAAGTCTATTATTTAGGTTATGCTCTGATTATGCAGGAAATTCCCTCTTACCTGAAGAAGAAAAGCCATCCCAGGTCTCCCTAAACCCAGAACTGAGATAATTAAGAGGTTTCTCTTCCATCTCTAAGATTCAAATCCTCTATGATCTTGTAACCCAGCTTTTATAATTTCTCTTTAAAAGTTTCTTTCAGTACTTGGGATGGAACCCTGAGGCTCTCTAGGACTGAAATACAACCTCAGTCCTTTTAATAATTTTATTTTGAGGTAGGGTCAGTTGCCTGAGCTCCTGGACACAATGGCACAGAAGTAAAAGCCCAGCAACTCAGGAGGCTGAGGCAAGAGGATCATAAGTTCAAGGCCAGCTGCAACAATTTAGGGAGACCCTGCCTCAAAAAATAAAAAGGGCTGGGAATGTGACTCAGTGGTAGTGCACCCCTAGGTTCCATCCCCAACACCATAAATGAACAAATAAATTCCACTTGCTATACCCCGGCCACTGGTGATGTCAGAGAAGGAGATGCTGGAGAGTGACCGAGGGACTTCAGGGTCTGGTTCCCTGTTTAGTCCTGAAGGATGGACTCATCACCACCCACACAGAAGCAGAGGGCTAAACAGGGGTCCGTGGTCTGGGAAGCCGAACTCTGCTGGGAAGCCAGGTGGTGGGGACAGGAGCTAGTGAGGTGGGTGTGAGGTTCCTTCCCTGGGAGGCCTGTCCAGCGAAGGTGGTGAGAAGCAGGGTAGAGGGGAGGGTGCTGAAGGAGGGAAGCCCCCACACCTGCACCTTGTAACAGGGAAGATCTGTGCTCTGCAGCAGGGAGCATAGAGCCACCTCCAATGCCCCCCTGGGGAAGGCTGCTCTGAGCCTCAGGTGGTGATTCAAAGTTGAGGGTGAACAGCAGTGATGGAGGCCTTGCAGATGGTGGACCTACCTTGTGTAAGCCTTACTCTGAAATGGGTGATGTGAATGAGCAGATTCTGCAACAGGCAGAATCCTGGGTGTTGACCATCATCAGGGGTCAGGGTGACCTTGGGCTTGGGCCAGTTTGTTTTCTCCCACCTTCACATTGCTCCTCAGAACAAACTGCCTGGTGTCTCCTTAGGCAACCCTTCCCACCAGACCCTCTCAATTACTAACTCCCTGTACTTAGAATCAGAGTTGAAGCTTCTGTCCCTGTGCCTGGGTATCAGTCAGCTGAATCACATGGATCTTGATGGCATCAAAATTTAAAGCCAGGTGTGGTGGCGCACACCTCTACTCCTAGTGGCTCAGGAAGCTGAGGCAGGAGGATCAGAAGTTCCAAACCAGCCCCAGTGACTTAGATCCTCAGCCACTTGGCAAGACCCTGTCTCTAAATAAAAAACGAAGTGGACTGGGGATGTAGGTCTGTGTTAGAGCACCCGTGGGTTCAATTCCCAGTCCCCCTTCCTCCAAAAAACGTCCAGTTGAAGTCACATGCCCCTCCAAGTTCTGCTACAGAAAGGTCATAGCTACTCTGCAGACCCTGGAATTGCAGGACTGTGAGGTCATGGAGTGGCAGCTCCATGCCACCCACGTTCCCTGACCTGCTGCTCCCAGCTCACCATGTTCAGCTTCAATGGTATCTCCCCATGTCAGTCCTGGAGAACCACCTGCTGCATTCTTCCAGGCTGAGCCAGTTAAGCCTAGAGCGTGTGCCCCGCCCCTCTGGAGACCAATCAGTGTCCTACTCTCCACGTTGGTGGTTTGTCCAGCTTCCTGCTAAGCTGATGGGGATACTGAGGGACATTAGGCCTCCCCTGAACATCTGATCTGTGCCTTCTCCTGAGCTTACTGGGCAGATAGGCACCCTTTAACCTGGTGCAACTGGATGTTTCATGGCCCAGGACCCTGTCAGGAAGCAGCTGTGCCGCTACTGTGTGCCTTCCCAGTCAGGTGCATAGGAAAAGCTTTCCTCTGGGCACTTAGAGATGAAACTTAGCATGTGGCTGCAAATTCAGAGGACACAGAACCCTGGCTTCAGGGTAGCTGGGAAAAGACTGAGGTGAAGGATTCCCCCCTTCCTGGGGTGGGAATAGAACTCAGCCTTCCTGCCAGCTAGGTAAACACACTACCCCTGAGCTGCATTTGCAGCTCAGCAAGTTAGCCAGGCCCTCAGCAACTTAGTGAGAACCTGTCTGAAAATGAAAAAAATTCAGGGCTAGGGATATGGCTCAGTGGTAGAGCACCCCTGGGTTTCATCCCTAGTACCAAAAATTTGTTTAAGCGGCTGGCCGGCAGGCAGGCTTGGCTTGTCCCTTCTGTCCAGCCTGCGCTGGCAGCGGGGAGGAGGCGTGATGCCTGCAGCCAGCAGCCCGCCCATGGAGTCTTTTCCCTGGGCGCCCTGCTCGCCCCGCCGTGGCCGCGTCCCCGCGCCCGTGGCGGTCGTGCCCAGTGCCCGCTACGTGAGTGCCCAGGGTCAGGCGCTCCGGCAGCAATTCAGCTCGTGGAACGACTACCTGGGGCTCGCTATGCTCATCACCAAGGCGGTGGATGGCGAACCGCGCTTCCGGCTGCGCCCTTGGCAAGGATAGCGGTGGCAGCTCTCCGCCCTCTTCGTCGTCCTCGTACTGTTGCTCCCCCCACACGGGGGCCGGGCCGGGCGCTGGGGCCGGCCGACTAAGACGAGGACGACGACTAGGACAGCGAGGAGCCGGTCCGGGGCTGCTTCCTGGGGGGCGCGCTGGAGCTACCAGCAGGACCCGCCGAAAATGGTCTGCTGGAGGAGCGCTTCAGCGAACTGAGCTCGTTCGCAGGTCGCGCTGCTGCGTTTCTGCTGGGCTGCGTGCCCGCCGCCGCCACCACCCACGAGGTGACGCCGCGAGAGGAGCGGGCCCCTGCGTGGGCAGCTGAGCCCCGACTGCAAGCTACCTCGGGGATCGCCACCGCCCGGCTGCTCAAACCCGAGCTGCAGGTGTGCGTGTTCTGCAGGAACAACAAGGAGGAGGTGGCTCTCTACACCACCCACATCATGAAGGGCCCCGACGGGAGAGTGTTGTGCCCGGTTCTGCATCGCTACACGTGCCCCCTGTGCGGCGCCAGCGGCGACAATGCGCACACCATCAAGTACTGTCCGCGCAGCGCTAGGGACAGCCTGCCAGGCAGGAAGCTGCGCTGAGGGCCCAGCGTCCAGTCTGCCGGCACCTGACGCTACTGCATTTGCTGCCTGCCCTCCGTTTTGTTCTGCCAAGGGTCTTTCCCTGTTTATTGGGGAGATGCGGAGCTGTCAGCACAGGCTCAACCTGGAACATCCAGAAGTCAAAACGTGACCTTTCAGGGGAACATTTTTCAAAACGTGACCTTTCAGGGGAACATTTCTAGATCCAAACCATAAGAAGTCCTTTCAAATACTACAGTAGGATATTTATAATAAATGTCTAACTTGATTTGCTCTCTCAAAGCAAACAAGACTTAAAAAAATAATTTTAGACTTAAATGAGTGAGATTTATTTCTTTAAATAATAATTCAGTATAGTAAAATGTTAGCTGGGCATGGTGGCTCATGCC